CTGAATTGGCCACCACAACAAAAACAGCTAGAGTAGGACCCCTCTGAACTGTCTACTGTCTTGTGTCAAGGTGGTATTCAACACTCATTCTTATTTGAAAGCTCACATTATTTCTGAGAAATAATGATTTGGGGGTGGAGATGAGAGGGAGCCCTGATCTCTCAGTGTCTACCTATATAAAAAGTGTAGAAGCCAAACATGTATGCAACTGGCATCACAGACAAAATGAGTCAACTAAGAGCTAGAGCTGCAAAATCTCTATAGGGAATAGGGATTTTTTTCACGTTACTTAAGTATTATTTGTTACTATTATTGGTGGTGTTATTTTTACTACCCATTAAGTCACTGATCTGTTGCTGGTCCCCAAAAGGCTTTCTGTCTAATTTACTATTTCACAATCTGTTTCCTGAATGGTGTGTTTGAGTGGTATCAGGTAGGGAAGTTTCTCTAAGGCTCCCAGACATCCGCTCGCAGAGGTGGGAAGAGAAATGCAGTGTCTTCAATAGTCGGAGATATCTAATGTTGCTTTATTCCATTCATTTCTTTACCAAGTGACTAACCTTGCATAGATAAGATCATGAGACTAGCTATCTCATATCTTTTAATAAACTAAGCTTCTACATGCCATGTTGGTTAGTTGAGCTAAATCTTTAAGCAATAAAATGATACCCATTAATCAATCTATGAATAGCTAATCAGTGGTTGGGGAGGGAATGGGTGTACAAGAATATTAAGAGTCACAGTTTCGGAATTTGTATGACCTCCCATTATAAGTTACTCAGACTAGCATGTCTGAACAAGCCAAGTTCTGAAAAATCTCTACCCCCTTCAAAAAACCTTGATGCTTGCATAGCTGACCTTCACATCAATTAATGGTACAAATCAGAGTATATGAATTAATGGCAGCCCATGTCGGACATATAATAAACTGATATTCTGGTTTTATGCATCACAAGTTGATTCCTAAAGTAAGGAAAGGTATCAGTTTACATGCCTCTTTGCTATTTTATGTACAATTTATACCATGCAGGTCACAATTTTTAATTTTTACCCCCTTTTGAAAAAAATCATCATCTTATGTGCTCAAAGCAATTTAAATTATTTATAAATTCTAGAGCATAGAATCTATTTAGAATTCAGTGTTAGATCCCAGACATACAGTTGGGAGGATCACTTCAGCCCAGGGATTCAAGACCAGCCTGGGCAACATAGTGAGATCCCATCTCTACAAAAAAATGAAAAACAAAATTAGCAGGGCATGCATGGTGGTGTATGCCTATAGTCCCAGCTACTTGAGAGGCTGAGATGAGAGGATCATTTGAATGTAGGAGGTTGAGAATGCAGTGAGCTGAGATCGCACCACTGCACTCCAGTCTGGGTGACAGAGTGAGACCCTGTCTCGAGAAAAAAAAATTGTAATAACAATAATAAAATAAACACTTTGCTATAAATCACTATGCTTTGGGGAGATGCTTTTCAAGATCCAGAAAGAGTAGTAAAATTTTAGGCAATAATAGATTTTAGGCAATTGTTTCTCAGAATCTATTTGCTTACAGATGCACTTTAGATAAGTGTGCCAATATTTATTTCCTGTTTATTACATTATTTTTCTTGTTAATTTCAGAAACTTGGAGGCTCAGACCCTGGTTTAATGTGTCCTTCTCTTACTCCTGAGTTGCAAGCAGTAATAAAAGAGGGTGGTTCGTGTACAGTACTTGATCAGCCTATTCCACTAGATAGGTTGGTAGTCAAAAGTATTGAACCGCTCCATGTGTCAGGTATGTCTGTTTCCATTATTCAGCTCGTCTGTTTGCCATCACAGAGTCTTATGTTGGCCTTTCTTGGTAGCAGGACATAAATCCAATTTAAGTCTTCATAAAAACAAGACTGTGTTCCTACGTGTCTATATATCTTTCACTCTATGAATTAGTTATGGTGTCCAGTGCTTGAGTGATAGCTCTGTTACTTGCTAGTTGTATGACCTTAGACAAGGCACTTCAGTTTTCTAAGCCTTGGCAAAATAGGGATAATAATATCTATTTCAGTGAGTTTCTATGAAAATTAAATAACAAATGTGATACATTCAATAAATGGTAGTTGCTACTAATATTGTTACCTACAGTATCATCATTAATACTATTGCTATTATTAAAACACTGAGAAACCATGACCAGATATGCAAGAGTAAGATATTTTATTACACTCTATTAAAATAATTATGCCAGATATATATATATTCATATGTATACACATACATATACATATGCATGTATCTACATGACACATGCATCAGAAATATATATCATTTTTAATCTTTTATTCAAGTGTTTCTTGAGTATCTCCTGAGAGCCAAGAACTCAGCAGGCCCTGCAGATACAAAGATGAATAAGAACAGCCGTTGGCCTTGGGGAGCTCTTAGAATAACGAAAGATCAGTAAATCCTCTGTCAGAAAAGCCCTGGGACTCTGAGTTACTCAAGGACATTTCAGTCTACTCAGGGCTTGAGTGGGCGGCAGTGTTCAGGAGGAAGCAGACACCACTCTGCCTTGTCTAGAGGCTCCTAGACCAGCTGAGACCAGGCAGGGGGAACTGACTTCCTGTCCCCATGGGAGGGGCTAGAAAAGAGAGAGCACTCACCATCCCCCTCAATTCCCACTCCAGCAGCCAAGCCCAGAGCTTCAGTGATGAGCATAGGACTGACTCATACATAATAGAGAAACCTTAAAGAGTGAATGAATGAATATACAAACAACAGTAGCAAATACTTACATAGTTATGCTACATAACTAAGTTATATATTTAAATGCCAGCCGGGTGCAGTGGCTCATACCTATAATCCCAGTACTTTGGGAGGCCAAGACAGTAGGATTGCTTGAGGTCAGGAGTTTGAGACCAGTCTGGGCAACATAGTGAGACCTAGTCTCTTATTAAAAAAAGAAAAAAATAGGCTGGGTGTGGTGGCTCACGCCTATAATCCCAGCACCTTGGGAGGACAAATTGGGCAGATCACCTGAGGTCGGGCCTTTGAGACCAGCCTGACCAACATGGAGAAACCCTGTGTCTACTCAAAAGTACAAAATTAGCCAGGTGTGGTGGTGCACACCTGTGATCCCAGCTACTCAGGAGGCTGAGGCAAGAGAATCACTTCAACCCAGGAGGCAGAGGTTGTGGTGAGCCAAGATCAAGCCATTGCACTCCAGCCTAGGCAACAAGAGTGAAATTCCATCTAAAAAAAAAAAAAAAAAAAAAAATAGTGAAGTACAGCAGCACACACATGTATTCCCAGCTACTCAGGAGGCTAAGGCTGGAGGATGGCTTGAGCGCAGGAGTTCAAGGTTGCAGTGAGCTGTGATTGCTACTGCACTCCAGCCTGGGTGACAGAATGAGACCCTGTCTCTAAAAATGAAAATAAATAAATTGTAAAAATTTTAATGCCTTACATATATTAACCCATGAATTAATATAACCTCTCTCCAAGAGCAGAAGGGAAGCCTGTATCCAGAAAGATAGCTTCTGCCTCCTGTATCCATTCTTCCTATTTTCAGTAAGATTTGATGAAAGGTAACAGGGCAGACCTTAAAGCCTCTTGTATTTGACTTGACTGGGACCAAAGTCTATGTAGGTCAAAATCACCAAGCCAGACAGTGGTTCAGGAGCAAGCCACAAAGGGGGTATGTCAAGGTTGCAAAACCTTTGCTTGGTGAGTGTGCTCACTTTCAGTGTGAGCCTCTTAACTGCCCAAGGGATGGCAGAGGAATACACATAAAACAAAGCTTCAGTATGTGGCGGCTGGAAATCACTTCTGTTCTGTAATTTGTTTAGTTTACTTCTTCATGGGGAAAAGTATCATAGTAGAGGGCATCCTGTGCTAGGAATTTCTTCTCCTACTACAGTGGCTATAGTTATAGATTACTATAGATTGGCTATATTTAGAGATTGTGGCCTGACACATAGACTTGAGTAAAGGAAGGTACCAGAACACCCATGAGGAAGAGGAAGCAGCTCAGCTGAGGGTTCAGTGTAGTCACAACCTGCCAACTTTAAGACTTGAACTTTATGGGAAATCTGACATCACTGGATTACCTTGAAAGATGCATGTTTTTTCTCCTCTATTTCTTTTATTTTTTTTTAATTAAAAAATCTTTTAAAAAACATTATGCTTCTGGGAACAGGCGCAGTGGCTCACGCCTGTAATCCCAGTACTTTGGTAGGCTGAGGCGGGTCGATCACTTGAGGTCAGGAGTTCAAGACCAGCCTGGCCAACATGGTGAAAAAATACAAAAAAAATTAGCCAGGCATGGTGGCACACATCTGTAATTCCAGCTACTTGGGAGACAAAGGCACAAGAATCACTTAAACCCGAAGGCAGAGGTTGCAGTGAGCCAAGGTCACATGACTGCACTCTAGCCTGGGTGATGGAGTGAGACTCTGTCTCAAAAAGCAAAACCAAAAACAACTATGCTTCCACCTTTTTTATTTTCTGATTTTAACTACCATCTCTTGTTCCTTTAAAAAATATTTTTCTCATTCCGCGGGCCCATTAACTTGACTAATTAGGTATAGTACCTGAGGCAGAGTAGCTATAGAGTAGGAAAAAGTAAATGAGGACAAGAGAGAGATTGAGCTCTGGAGTGAAAGACCTAATTCCAAATCCTGGCTATATCATTTGTAAGCTCTGTGACCTTGAAAAAATTAATTTGTTTCCTGTTTACAAGTAGGAATTAGCTGACCTATCTCATAGGGTTGTCATGTAGAGAAAAAACATAGTATGGTGCCCAGTACATAGAAAATGCTTTTAAAATGGTGTCAATTATTGTATTAGAATGTCAGTTAAAAAAAGAGCTATTCCTGCCTATATATGATACTCTCTCCGAACTGTATTTCACAGGCGTAGCTTAGCAGGTCCTTTCATTTATAAAGTCCCTTGTACCTATACTACAAACCAAATGGAGCAAGGATGCCTGGAGTAACCTTAGAAGTACAGTTACAGTTTTTGAGGAAAATGAATTCCAAAAACCAGCCAAGAATAACAACCTGGTCTTTAAAGCCTCACTTGCTACAGGGAATTTATAAGGCAAAGAATTATAGAGTAAAACAAACACAGCCAGCTTTTTTTTTTTTTTCCCCAGAAAGTCATTTTAATAGGTTTAAGTTCTCTCACTGAAGAGAAGCTGGACAGAATTTTATGGCCTCTCCTTAACAGACTTTATTTGTTGTAGTAGAATTTAGGGATTATGATGTTCAGGTTGTTATGAGTATAATCTGTGATACTGGGGTAGTTCTTGCAGTTAAGAAAATAAGTATTGACCGGGCGTGGTGGCTCACACCTGTAATCTCAGCACTATGGGAGGCCAAGGCGGGTGAATCGCCTGAGGTCAGGAGTTCGAGACCAACCTGGCCAACATGGTGAAACCCCATCTCTACTAAAAACACACAAAATTACCTGGGCATGATGGTGGGTGCCTGTAATCCCAGCTACTTGGAGGCTGAGGCAGAAGAATTTCTTGAACCCAGGAGGCGGAGCTTGCAGTGAGCTGAGATCGCGCCACTGCACTCCAGCCTGGGTGACAGAGCAAGACTCTATCTCAAAAAAAAAAAAAAAAAAAAGAAAAAGAAAAAGAAAGAAAGAAAGAAAATAAGTATTTTATTCACTTGGATTCTGAAAGAAGCTCAGCCCTACTCAGATAAGCCTGAGTTACTAACTCCAACAAATACAAATAGTGACAGCAGACAAGCATCAGCTTAATGATCAGCAAGAATATGTCACTTGCTCCCTTTTTCTCTTCTCTGAAGTACTTGATATGGGCAGGAGACAGCCCTGGCCTGTTTTTGTTTGTTTATTTGTTTCTAAACACTGACTATAGAAAGAATGTACAGAGCCACACGCCAGTGGCTCATGCCTGTAATCCCAGCACTTTGGGATGCCGAGGTGGGCAGTTCACGAGGTTAGGAGTTCAAGACCAGCCTGGCCAACATAGTGAAACCCCGTCTCTACTAAAAACATAAAAAATTAGCCAGGCGTGGTGGCGGGCACCTGTAATCCCAGCTACTCAGGAGGCTGAGGCAGGAGAACCGTGTGAACCTGGGAGGCGGAGGTTGCAGTGAGCCGAGATCCCGCCAGTGCACTCCAGCCTGGGTGACAGTGCAAGACTTCGTCTCAAGAAAAAAAGAATGTATAAGCTTCAGAACTGTGTTGTATTAATAATTCAAAGAAGAGACTTACATTTTAAAAGAGCTCCTGCTATATTAAAAAAAGAAATCTGCTCTCCCACTATCTCCTGTCTTTTCTTTGAGACCAGCTAGAAAATGACAGAACAGGCTCTCTTTTGCAAACACAGAAACCATGCCAACGTCTCTTTTTGTTTTGTTTTACATTTCACCCAGTTTGGTGGATGCTGGATTTTATTTGAGTGGTTTTTGGCTTTTCTTGGCCTGAAGTATTCAGGTGGTTTTGTATTTTTGCCACGTCTTAATTTGTTTATAAACCTTGGTTGGATGTGACTTCCCTTTAAACACAAAAATAAAAATTTTTAAAGAAGTGGTGAGGAAGAAAAAAGAAAATATTATATTGTTTTGTATATTTTTATTTATATTTTCACACACAAAAATCTACCTCATATGCTTAGCTTGTTCTATGAGGAGGGGCCCATTTCCCATTACTTAAGCCATAGTTGCATTTCATCAAGTATCAGAAAGAAAGGGTTTTTATAGTAGAGTGGGCTTTATTTGGACATAGTAGTGGGGTCTTGGCATTGAAACAAAATTAAAAAAAATTTATAACCTACATAAACCTCCCACCCTCATTAAAACAAAAACAAGCCAAATAGAAAACAAACCCCAGGTTCTTGTACTAAGAAATTGTTTGGATTTCATATGAAATGATTTGGCTTTTTGTCTTTGTAATATCTTTTTCTAGTCTTTGGGCTGAGAAATGCTTTTCTTATACAACACGAAAACAGATATCGACAGTGTATAGCAGCATTCTTATTACAAGCCCAAACGGAAAACATCAAAGTATGTATTTTAATGTTGTGGGTCTTTGATTCTTCAGAGTTTACATAAGCTCACCCCCAGCCTCTTAAGTAACAGTGAATGGAAAGTTTTGTGTATTTCTCTCACCCACTTGGGAAGGGCAGATTTGGGAGGACGGGAGGGATACATCTAGTCCATATAATGCTCAAAAGCCTCAGTATTTACAATTTCCTCACACTTGCAGGGTTGAGGAACAATTTCCTCATGCTTGCAGAGTTCTCCTCCTGGAGAAGCTCAAGAGCTGCCTGAGTTCTGCAGTTTCTGTAGGAAATGGGGGAAGAATTGATTTGGATTGCATGATGAACTTTTAGGATGCTCCAATCAGTTTCCTAAGTGCATATAATAGGATATTAGCTTAAGGAGGGCCTGGTGCAATAATGATCTGTGTCAAGTCAGCTTGTCAACCTTTGAAAAACTGCCATTGTTTTTACAGCTATGGAGTTGAAAGAGCAGTTGCCTGACTCTGGTTTCTCTATCTTAGAAGTTTCTATTTTTGAATTTCCCCTGGTAGGCTTTCATCATAGCCACAATGTGGCCAGACAATAAATGCAATATTCAATTTCCTGGGTCACTGCCCTCAGTCTCTTTCAAATTATACTACAGGTTGAGAACTTGTTTCCACAGCGAATGGATATTCCAGCAATGACACGTTCAAACTACGTATATTCTCGGTACTCATTTTTCTAATGAGTTATCATTGACTATTGTTTGATTACTCATAACTGTTATCCAACGTGCATACCATACTCATTTAGCCTATCTGCATTTTCCTGTATGATTAGAAGTATTTATATTAGATGTAAGAAAGAAAATATGAAAATGTTTCATTAGTCTTCAGTTTTAAAGAGCTGGTCAATAAATATAGCAGAAAATATTAGCCCAAATATGTGAGAAATTGTCAGCTTAACATTCTAATCTCTATTTATGTATTTTTTTTTCTTTTTTCAACAGAAAACATGGATGGCACAAATAACAACTGCAATTTCTTGCTTTACCAAGAATCAGGAAACCAAGAAAATATCTTTATTCACATTGCCCGCTGAATCCTCTGAAATTTAGGGACCTAAAATAAGTGGCATGCCTTTTTAGAAGATTAGGGTTTAAGTTATTATTTCATTCAAACTTTTGTAACACTTAGCTACTGATAAGCTAGAAGGAAATTTGCATTTTAAAGAAGTTCCAGAATTTGAAAATTTGAGCTAGGAAAATCCTCAGTATAGAGGAGTAATGACTGCAACAAATTTGAACTCTGAGGAATTTCTTGACAGATACATACCGACATCCAGATTACTTTCTAATGCTTCTGTCAAGTTTGTAAGAGGTGTGAGTGAAGCAAGGTGCTAATTTGTAAAGGGTGAATGATCAGATAAATGGAGTATCAGAAGGAAAACAATGTCCACTGCTTGTGTCCAATATGAACTCCAGCATCTTACTTTGTGTGTATCTATAAAATAATGAAACCAATTTTCCTTCATGGCTTGTCAATCAGTCTTAACTGCTTTATAGTCCTGCCTCAAACACAATGATAGTTCTTTAGATACAGAGCTTGATTGTTCTTTTAATATACAAAGCGATAAATAAGTACATTTTAATAGCAGTTTTAAAATTCCTATTCTCAAACTCCTCTCAGGTATACTTTATAGTACTCTAACGTGGAAGTAGAAAACCCCAAAGACTAAATTCCATTACTTTAAGATAGCCGGGGGGGAAAAATCTGGCTTTCACCAGTTAACCCTTTTGCATGGCTTTTCTTGGCCTGTTGTGAAGTGTACAGATTTTCATAGACATAGTAAGGTATCTGTCTCTTAACTTTATTTTTTGAAGAATGATGGTGTTTGCCATAAAAATACTTTCTGGTTTTGATTGGGGGGTGTGTGTGTATGTTAGCACAGTACAGTCAATTTTATTTGGCAGGACTTCAAATTTCTTCAGAATTTTTATCATGAAAGGCAGTTTGAATAATTATTATATTATGACAGGATATATACTATTAACTACATTCAAGGAACTAGTTCTTAGGGTCAGATTATTGCATCAAATGGAAGTCCACAAACTTCCACTTCAGGCTCATACCTTTTGCAATTTGCAAAGTGAAAGTAGTAAATTTATCAAATTTGGTTGCAAGGCAACTGAAGCCTTAGCTGATTTTGTTAAGCTACAGAATGGGATAGAGAGGGTAATATTTGGGCAAGTCACGTGCACAGTAATTCCTTGAGGAAGGTGAAATTTCACCATGCAAACAAAGCAGCAAAGACAAGTGCAGCAGAAAGGCTTTTGTACAAGGCAAGCACTATTAGAATGGAGACTAATAATCTCTTTATAATAATGTCAGACATTTAATAGAAGAAAAAAATAAAAGGACAATCGGGAGGACAGTGACTATTGTTAATAGCTAAGAATAAATGAGGTGGGGGAAAGGCAAAGGGGAGAATAGACTTCAAGTGAATTTCTAGAGATGGCATCTGGATGGGACTAAAAGCAGTTATGTCCAGGAGAAGACAATATAGATTATGCAAGAGAGGATTTTATAAAGAAATTTCTGGCTGAAAAAAATTTTTAAATTAACAATCGTCTTGCAAATTTTTTAGATACAAACCAACCTCGGAGGTGAGCAGTAGACTAACACGAGGTGACTTCTCAAATTCCTGTAGTCCCATGAATCCAGCAACCACAGACTTACTTGCATGTATAAAGGTAGTTGTCTCCCTCTGAATCTCATTAAAGGGAGAGACAGACTGACTAAATTAACAAAATATGTAAAACAGCTCAAGAATACGCTGCACATAAACTGGAATTCTATAAAGCTCACAAAATACATGTCTAATATACAATATATTAGATGCTTGAGGATATGCACATTAAACTCTTCAGAGGGTTTAGAATGAAGCACATTCAAATGAAGGGATCGTGGGGGTCGGAACAAAAACCATTCTAGAACCGTGGCACCCAGGAAGAAAAACAATGGCACATTGGGCCTTCCAAAAAGTATCTTTGGGGACAGGAAGGAGAAAAAAATAAATAAATAAAATTTTTAAGTATCTTTATGAAATAAGGGATTAATTACATATTTTTTATATTTGTTTTTAGTTTTGTTAATTCTCTACAATATTAAATGGAATGTCTAAAACAAAATGGCATTAATAATTTCTCGAGATCAGGAATTTAATTACTGTTCTAAATTGAACAACATCAAAACACCACTGTCTATATCCAAGTGCAAAGTCCTAATATTCTGTAAATAAATTAATGCGAAATGGTTAATATAGTGTTCTCTCTTTTGTTAGACAAAACAATTTATAGTCACAGAATACAACTAGTTTAGAAAGAAATGTTTTTTAATATAATATTTAAACATATTAAAAAAAACAAAAGCAACAATTCAATAAGGATCCTTCCATTGTTCTTTATACAGATTTAAATGCTGTCGTGTACTTTATCAGTTACATTTATAATTAATAACCTCCCAATCACTGAGTTTAGAAATTGCAGTATTTACTGAGCTAACCTTTCTCACAAAATAAGGCACAACTACATGATCACAAGTAGTAAACACAGTACAAATAATGAACCCAAAAACTAAATGAGAAAATGTTCATGCAAAAGTATCTACAGAAGTTATGAATATATGATCCAGTTCAAGGAATTACAGAATGTCATATACACAACTGCATTGTGTTACAATAAATTTATTACTTCTACACAGAAAGAACTTAGTGACTTCTAATTTTATTTTATACAATTTTACATCAATTTAGTAAGTTTATGCACAATATTCACATCTGCAACAATAACAAATTGATCATTAAAATTTGGGCTAAGGGCAATTAAGACACGATAATGTGTGGCACATGATAATTACAGAATACCATTCATCAAGCTCATGTCTAGGAATACTATAATGGTGGCACATTTAAATTTTATGGATCAAATCATCCATGGTTTTACAGCCAAAGTGCATTTTTTTTTAAAAAAAAAACTCCTCTAGTCAAACAGGTCATGAATATCAAAATATAAAATCATAATTTGCTCTCTACTTAAAAGCTAAACATTTTTATGCAAATGTAAGGTTAAAAAAAAGTGGCTTTAAAGTTCTCAAAACTATATAAAATAATCATAAAGACTTTTTAAGAGAGATGGGAAAATAACAAATTTGGCAGTTACTATTTAACATTACTGTCAGGAAACTATTAAAGTAGATAATTCCACATTAAGAGGTAGTTGAACAAAATGTTATTTATACACTGCATTGAGGTTTTTGTGTTTGTTTCCCTCATTTTTTCTTCAAAGGAACAAATCATATACCAGCAGCTTTGTCTTCTTTCTATTAAAAAAAAGTCTGTAGGTATAGTTTATTGTACACTAACCCAGCAAGACTTAATTTTAACTCACATTCTGTGCCGGGGTTTGGAATTTACTAACATTATGCCAATGTGCTTTTCATTAAAGCCAAGAGCAGTACATGCCAGCTCTAACTCACTGACAAAATAATAGTACCAGCAAACATGTAAAATGTACAGCCAATAAGGACTTCAAAGATGACTTTTTAATTAAAAGGAAAAAAATTAAAATTTTTGTTTTCAAAACACATTAAATTGGGGAGAGTTCGTAGCAAAAAATGTTGGGTTTCATTTATATTATCAGTATAGTAGTCTATGGTAGGTAAATTACTTGGGACTTATGAAATGAAATTAGTTAGATAAAAATGAGAAAATCATTCAAACACCTATATATGGTTACTTGTCTTACAATTTTTTTGTGAATATGTTGGGGGCAAAGGGGAGACAGACAGAAGGCCTGGAGGGTGTCCAATTAGGAGACAAAGTGAACAAATATTCAAACCCAGATTTCTCATGGAATTTTATTATCTCAAAAAAAAAAAAAAAAGTGGTGCTGTGAACATCTGTGTTTTTCCAGCACACTTATTAAGTTATTTATATGTAAAATTATAGAATTAAAACTATTTGGAAGGATTTATAAGTATATAAAACTACATAAATAGTTTGGTTTATATTATCCAACTATTATTTTTAATAAAGAGCCACGGTATTTCTTCATTATATATGCTCAAGGATATATGTTTATCCAAGTCCAGGAACTTAATCGATGTTCTTAATAGCTAATGACAACAGGGTTTACTTAAAATTTTTTTTAAATAATTAAACAAATACGTAGTGATCTCTTTCAGTTTACATACATTGTAGGTATAGCATAAATATAATTTCATTTCAGAATATTTGAAAGCAAATGTATATTATAAACTAGTATAAATGAAATATTAACTACTGTTATAAAATGATTGCACTGAATGAATGTATAACTACATTTCTTCTTTAGAAAGATTAATAAACCAATATTAATAACTTCTCTCTTGAGATGTTTTACAATTTTCCAAATTAATAAGACTATGCTAAATTAAAGTTCGATACCATTGTTCAGAATACAAATAAGCTAATTCTTAATTATCCTTACGGTGCTTAGCCATGTTGTTTTAGTTTTTATTGTAACTCTGGGATTCCTAAATATATTTGTTTTTGGTGACACTCTATTTCTAGGTGTTAGTTACTTAAAGGGAATTTCACAATAGTAAAACTGGGAACAGTTGGTATGGAACACCAAATTCAGAACCATTTTAAGTCAATTTTACAACTTTTAAAAATTCTTCCCAATAGGGAATAAGAACAGAAAGTAAAATATTTAATGTCTTCTTACCATTTTATATTTTGTTTTCACCAATAAGACCACAGCAACATTAGTTACTAGCTTTAAGATGCAAAATTATAAAACAAATACATGAAGCCGACCTATGCTTGAAAAGGTTAAACCAAATAAAGGAAAAAATCAGATCTATGTAAAAAGCAAACTCAGGTTCCTGAAGATGCTAGAGAGACAAAATAAGGGTATGATATGCAGGCTGATCTCAAAAGACTTCCCACTTACAAGAAACCGAGAATAAGAACATTATATAATGTTTATTATTCATCCTCCAACTGAGGGCTAGGGTAAGAAGCTTTCTAAGATTCTAAATGGACAATATGTGGGAGTTTAAGAAAGAGACAGAAAAAGGCAAAAAGAAAAATTAACCCTATTCTTTGAAATACAACCCCAGATAACCATAAGTAAGCAAATTGATTTTACACAGGTTTTTATAAAATCCACCCAAGAAAATTTAATTAATATTGTTAAAACAAAAACCATTTTTGAATTCATGGTTACTACATATTTTAAGATAAACTGTATTGAGAACACCCAAGTAGTAAATTCATAACATAACAATGCAACTGAGCTATGAACCTACATATAAGAGAAAAAGGTAGAGGAAATGTTACAGTTCTGTGCATAACTTCACAAAGAGAATATTTAATACAATTAATGTGCTATTGTGCAACAAAAACAGCAACAAGTGATAATATCATCCATGTACATTTTTGTACATTAAATTTAGGAGAAAGAAGTAAGCTATGGAATTGCATTCTTCATTTGTGAATAATGAAATTATATTAAAAAAATACATTGCTATTTTCTGTCCAAAGTTTATTTACATTTCATTGGCTAATTCTAAACTTGGCATGAAAGCTATTCCAGGGGCTAAATGGGAAAAAAGTAATGAAAGATGATAAGGCCAAGTCTCACAAAAATAGAAGAGTTTTACTTGATATCCATAACATTCCAAAATATACTAATTCCTATTTGGTCTAGTATTGCAACCAATGTCCAAACCAAATAGTAGTCCAAGACCTCTATTAAGTACATTTATTAAAAATCTAATGTTAGTGTAATATTACTCTGAAGTTGTGATAACCCATTATCCTTGCAAGTCATTGAAACATGCATCACACACACGAACAGGCTTCTTGGAAGAAGGAGTTAAGGCATTTTTGGCTGAACATTCAGCACAGAAGATATTTCCACACTGTCGGCAGTGATGCTGTAAATGACAAAATTTAAACAATTTTAAGAATAAAAACTATACCAAAAGTATTATAAAACTACATGAATACCACCAATTACATTGTGAAGGTACATTAGCATGAGAAATATTTAATGATATAATGTTTCAATATGTTAACTTAATCTCTTTGTTATAATTAAATGGAATGTTTCCTATTTATCAAACACTATGCTAAACATTTTATATAGAATTTATCACGGAACTCTCAAAAGAACCAGAGGAGGCATTTAAAAAGTGTTTATAAAGTATCTCTATCCAATGAAAAACTATTCCTAATTCCCAAATGTTTCAGGCACTAATGTCTCCAATAGAAATATAAACTGAAGTCATAACACAATGGTAGTATTTAGAATATATTTTAAAAATATCTCTGCTTTTTCTTCCTTTAAAGAACCCAATGATTACTAAAACATGAGTTTAATGTTGGTGCACTGGTTCAGAAAATGATTGTCCCAGACAGCAACTAAGTTGGAAGACTGAATTTAAAAGTAAAATTCAAACACATATACTAACCAGAAGCTAGACTGCATGAAGTTTAGTTATTCTATGTTGTTGTTAAAGTTTACTGATAAACAGAAAATTATTCGATCAAATGAAGGACTATTTTGATGGTTAAAACATTAATTATCAGTGAGAAATGAAATCCAGAAACAGTTAAATGAACAAAAGTATTTACCCGTCTCACTGTTACTGAAAAGCCTTTCCCACAGGCCATACAGTTTTGTACTTCATTGTCTTCGGCCCACTTTCTATTCAACGCTTGTGTATGTTTGATCTGTTTTTCAAAAAAGTATCGATATATTTATTATAGTACTGAACATTTTAAAGAATGCTAGATTATTTCTAACTTGCTGCCAGAGTTCTATGAAATTTTGACAATATGACCCATGAAATAAAATTTTTAAAAATCAGAAATACACTGGTCAGCTTCTATTGTCAAAAGTAGCTATATTCATAAATCTGAATGACCAAATAAAATTCATGGAATTTTATTCCTGAAACATCTTGCTAACTTTTGCTGATTTCCAATTCATTCTAAATATAATCATGAATCTTTCCTGGTAACTCTGAGCATATACTCAGATCACTTCTTTAAAACATACTGACTCATATATTCTTTGGTATTCTTGAATTTTGTAGTTCTTTCCGTATACTAACAATTCATGAATGACATGGCTTCCTAATGAATCTCTGAGGTCTCTGAAACAAGTTCTTTTCTTTTATATTTAAGTATCCATAAAACCTACAATACTGCTGAACAGACAGTAGCTATTTGAAAGTATTTATAAAACATGAGATTTTTTTAAAAGTTAAAAATATGCTTTTCACTAATAAGTCAATTCTAGACTAAAAAACTGCCTCATATCAATAGTTGACTGACCTGAAGTGATTGGTTTTCTCTGCCCAGCTCCTGCACTGCTGCAGTTGTATTATCCAACTTTCTTTGCAATTCTAATACTTTGGTTTGAAGCTTTTCTATTTCACCTTCTCCTTTAAGACATCTGGAATAGATTGCAAAGAGGTAATTTTTTAGAAAACCATTAAAGACCCTTCTAGGGTATAGATAATGGACTACTTTAGTAATTTAAAATATATAATACATTAATTTTTACTATCTGATTGTTTTACAGATTAATTTTTAAATTAATATTTATAACTTAAATACCTATAGAGGCTTATGCACTTTTCTCAAGATTCTTCTATTTTTAAAAACTATGGAATATGACAATCTTTGTATCACTTACAATGGAAATAAACTTAATTTTACTAGGTATCAATCACCTTTCCAGTAGTGCTCTCCTTTCATCTTGATTATTCTGAACCGTTGCTTCTAATACTGCAATTTCACCCCGTAAGTCATCCGTTTGTTTCTCGAGCTCACTAACTCTCCGTTGACTAGACTGCCACTCCTTCTTCACAGTGCCTAAGTTTTCATTTAATGCTGTAATCTGCATGGTAAGTTTAGCCTCATTTTCTTCATGCTTCTTCATTCCTACTTCCTTTTCTTTTAT